AGAGTTCAATCTGAAAAAAATATCTGATATAAGGTAAATCTGATGTTCAAAACTTTTAACATCATGGACACTTGGGAAATGAATATATATTAGAAATAAACTTTCCACATGCTGCACACACTACTTCTGTATAGCGATTTAAAAATGGAAAGCGATGCAATGTGAGAATAGTACATCTTGTGTGCACACAGCAGGGCTCCTCGTTCTGCTTACACAGCCAGGGCTGTCAGTTCAGCATTGAGAATCAGCCCGCTGGAAACTGTCACACGTGGTTGGGACTTTCGCAGTTGATGCAATGGAAAAATGTGTAACCTGCCAAGAACGTTTATCTGCTTCTTTGACAGCCAAACAGGTGAACAGGAAGTCCTAGTCTCTCAGCAGTTTTCTTGCTGATCTTCATGGACACTTTAGTGTAAGATGAAGATGTGGTGGTTGCTTCTTTTCAGTGCTGACGGAAGAGATTCACAAGGTGACAGGGATGTGTTCACCAAAATAAGCTTTATCGAGTTGATATTGAGTGAATATTAGTGGTTTCTGTCCATAGTGTGTTATGGGACCCAAGTGAGAAGAGGCTAGCCTCTGGGTAAGTCTACATTCTATTACATTATTGTTGCATATATTGAACTGATATAGCTCTTATAGGTTGGAGTAGGAAGGCACAAGAGAAGTGACAGGTTTATGTTGACCAGGCTGGTTCTGCTATCTGGCAGAGCTGTGTAAATCTCAGAAATTAATGGACATAAATACAGATCCTTTTACAGCTCTCATATACATATTTCAACTGTGTAGTTAGCTTTCAGCCTGGAGTTCAACTTTCAGGAAACCTACATACAAAACAAAATTTTCTTTGGCCACATCATTCTCTTCTCTTTCTCCAACTCCCTACACATCTAAGCAGAGGGTAGAACCTATAGTACAATTCTGAAAACTAGAGGGAGTATACTGATCAATGTTCTGGAGGAGAGGCAGATTGACACCCCGATGGACCGGGATGTATTTAATACATTGTATTTCAATCTAGGCTGTTTAGTGGGTGTCATTTGCAGGCTGGGATCATGGGAAATGACCAGCAGGGTTATTCACAAAAGGGTGAAGAGTTTGGAGAAGGCAGGAGAAGTGATCAATCTAGGATAAAATGGCTGATTTGGAAAAGTTCTCCAATTCAGCTCGATTTACAGGTCAGCTATGTTGTCCTAGATTGTTCACTTCTCCTGCGTTCTCCAAACTCTTCACCCTTTTGTGAATAACCCTATAGGAGATTCCAGGGACATATTTGCTAGTAACAGAATGATTTATCTATCACCTACCTTTTAAAATGTGGTACTACACAATGGCAGAATCTTATTTATCTCTTTGAGGATGAGGAATGAGTTCTATGTTCCTACTGTAAATCTTTGAAGTGATTTGGATAAAAAGATACATTCTCTATGAAGTGCACGGTTATCTGGTATACTATACCTCATTCTTTGATCATCAGGGGGAATCATTTCCACGTGGTGAAGAGGCCCATTCAAATTCACAACATGTAAGGTGACCACTGGATTCTCGAAACCAGCCTAAAATATAAAATAGAACTATGCTTAAAATGTATTTTTAAAGCCAATTTAAATTTTGAAATGTGGCTTATTTCACAATATATCATACCATTGTGTTTCATGAACACATGTCCACAAATTAGTGTGCAGGTTTTTCCCACATTTGCAACGCGCGTCCCTCTTTGATTTCAATGGTTGCTGCACGTGTGAAAAACACGGGAAAGTAGCTCATGCAACAGGTGTACCGCATTTTTTCACCACACATTTGTGCACGTCTATACACAAACAGCTGGGGGTTGTTAAGAGTTTAGATGATTAACCCTTCCGTGCAGTCAGGGGTCAGTTTACAGTTCTTCAGCCGACAACCAGCTGTCTAGTGGAAGTAATCACTTCCACGAGTTCCGCAGCATGCAATTAAATGAAGTATAAAAAAAGTTTACAAAATTAAAGTTAAATTCAATCAATAACATTGCAATAACCAATCCCTAGTGCATTGCAAAGTACTTGCAGTGTAACATTGTGAACATCCTTAAAGGAGAGAACAGAGGAATAAACTCATCAGTGTACTGCTGTTCCTTCACTGCCCATTTAAAGACTGTGGACTGGAAAGCGTCATGGTTTCCATTTTCCTTAATCTTTAAATCCATTCTGCTTCCCTGCCCTTAAATGGACAGGAAAGCAGAATGGATTAAAAGAGACACCCATCCCCCTAACATCCAGTGTATTCCACATAACCAAATAGAACCCACTACATGCACCGAGTAAAATTGTTATTGGCTTTCTGTTAAGCCGCCGGGTGCATGCACATGTGCAGTACTGCCAACTCTCCTGCTGGCAAGTGACCGGAAGTGCCCTTTTTGACAGAACACCAGGAGTCACAGGTGTTTCATTTAGCCACCTGTACATATCAATGACAGGAAGCGGCTGTACATTGGTAAATGTGATCTGAGCACAGATATGCGGGCACGTAGGAATCCATGCCCCTGCATGCAGACAATCTGTGTCCAGGAATGTACTGTACATCCCTACTTATACAGATGTATAAGTTGGAAGGGTGGACATTATTAACATAAGGGCTCATGCCCATGGGCACGGAGGACTGTATACTGTAAACAATTATACAAAACACAGAAGTTTCCTAGCACACTTACCGACTAGTCTGGAACAAAAACAATTGTACTGTCTAAAAGTATGTGTCAACTTTTGCACAATATGTGGAAGCCCCACTGCCTCGCCAAGGCTCCTCTGTGAAGTGTAGGGAAGCACTGGGGGCCCCAGTGTGCATTTTTGATTGCTGGGATTGGATTGGATTTGAATTCCTTGGCCCCCAGTGCATCCCTGTGCCTTTAAGAAGAAGTGGGCTCCCTGCAGGCATACCTGCATTCGATGTATCTACTGCTTAAATATGCTCCAATATGGAGACTCACAAAAATTAGGACCACACTACACAGAGGAGCCATGGCGAGGCAGTGCAGCTTCCCCATTTTTTGCAAAAGTTGTGCAACTAAAACCTCTGCTTTTAATGCATTCTGTTAGACATGACAATTTGTTTTGTTGCAGGCTAGCTGGTAAGTGTGCTGGGAAACTTCTGTGTTTCGTATTGTTGTAAACCCTTCCATGTGCACCTTACTACAAAGGCTAGTTATAAATTGTGTGTTTGCCATGTATTTTTATACTGTAAAAATTGTCTGCTCCTGGGAGTCACAAGTGTTGCGTGCAGCAGACTGTACATATCAATGAGAGTCTGCGGCTTTATGCAACACTTGTGACTCCAGTGCGCAGAAATACGGCCTTTTTTTTTTCTGTGTACGGCTCATGTGCCTGAACCCTTATGATAATTATTACCACCCTTCCAATTTATACTGAACACACAAGATTTAAGTTGTATTACACTTGTCTTTGTGAAATGTTGAAAATGTTTTCTTCTGATCTTTTGCTGGCATATTTCCGTTCTGTGAGATCCAAGTGAAATGAAGACAATGATGCTGGAAGGCCGGGACTGATCCATCCCCATGTACTGTGCATTGATAGAAAGCTCCCAGCCGTTCTCACTGCTCCTCATATGTAAGTGCTACCCAGATCTCTTCCTGACAGAAATCTGTGATACAAAGCACTGAGGGACTCGTGTTCCACTCATCAATCTAGCAGTACTGCGTTCGCTGAGCATGATACATGAGGGGTGTAAGGAAAGGTGTCAGGAAATAAAGAAGAGATTGAAGATGAGTGCTTCTGTTATTTGATGCTATGGTTCTAGAATGGAGATGTCTGGGTTTAGAAGCCATTATGTCTCTTGACAATTACACTAAATCCAGCGCGTTTTCAGGGGATCAACAGGGCTGCACTTTTCTAAATCAAACAAGAAAAACCTCAGACATTTATTTTATTCAGTGTATTGTCCCTCTGCATACTTACTGCAAAACTAGTAAAAGATTATTTGAACTTACAGCTCTTCCAAATGTATAGAGGCAAATGTATGAAATGGTTGCCTATGAGATAGAATAAACGTCAAGGTCACGGTGAGGCGGTACAAAAAGAACTGAAAAGCCCATCTCTAAAGTACTGTGAGATCCAGCATTGCCTTCTTGGTGATAACACATCCTCACTTCTGGCACAAACCCAAAAATAACCTCTGTAGGGACCCCGCAAGGGGAAAGGAGCCACCCTAAAACAGGATATCAGGACCAGTGCTCAGGGTGCCAGCTGATTCTGCAGGAAGCTAAAACATTTAAACATCAAGAAGCAGCATCCATTGTAAGTGAATTAATCAGGATATGAAATAGATTAAAAACATTTTGACTTCAATATCACTTTAACTTTCTTCAGCCCTGCTAGACAGAGCTGTGCTGTGTGATATAGATGATTGGTTGCCATATGCCACTGCTCCAGATTCTGTCTGTTTCAGCTTTTATGAATTCGCCCGATGTGCCTTTAGCACAAGAACACTAGACTGCTGTATTCATTAACTGAACAAATGATTATTGTTATTATATTGTAATTAATATTGTTATTAATTTATCACAATATTAAATATGAACCAAGAACAATTTTGGGATAGATCTTTATGCAAGGATAGACTTCTCACCATGATATATATGACACCAAGTTCTTGTCAGCCTACGTGCAAAGTCAACAACTTTCATCTGCTTCCAAGTATTGGCTGGTAATAGAACTTTTGTTTCCAAAGTTTGAATCAGATTTCTAATTGTCAACTTACACCCGTCTCCTTGCGTAATAGTCACTATATTTGCAGTCTAGCGGCATGCATATTCCCTATTTATACCCTACTGAAGCTCTTTCTAAGGTAAGCAACAATATTTTAAGTGCACAATAAAACATTTTAAAAAGCAATTTCTTACCTTTGGATAATGATAGTTTCTCACTGTTGGATAAACCGATCCAGTATATACTGGAATTTCCATGGTGGGGACTTTGGTGTCGTTGATTGTTGCATACGCTAATCTGGCGCCATCTGGAGCCCACCAGTGAGCAATGTGGCTTTTAAATATTTCCTCTGTAAAGAAGCAAAACACAACATTGATATCTGGGGTTTTTAACTATACGTGATAAGCCCAATGGAAGAATCATCAAAGCTAAACTATAGGCATATATTAAAAAAATTATTGCAATTATGTGTTTATTAAAATCATTAAGGGATGTATATATAAAACATTGGCAGCACCATTTATCCTGCACAACTGCATGTACATTCGTTTTGTGTGAATGGAGGCAAAAAGAAAAGTTATTAGTACATTTTCTTTATAGGTTGAATGTAATATCAGGAAAATACTGCAGTGTATCCAGTAGATGGAGCTGGATATACTGTAGTATTTTTCATACATTACACATTTTTCTGCTGTAATCACACCCTATGGTTCTTTCCTAAAGGCATAAAAAAACTGACAGAAAAGGAAAAAGAGTTTTTAAATACTAAAAAAGGGTCTAAAAAGGAAGGGAGACAACAAGTATTTCAAAAAATCAAGCACTCAATATATCCCAAACAGTTCAAATCCAAATTTTTTACGCCACTTAGCTCCCAGGCAATTTGTTCGCCAAGCCCTGTGTGAGCAACAAACAGACAGAGTCCTTAAACATGCCCCCAGACTTTCTAGCCACTGACCACCATAAAAATCCTTCTACAAAAGCACCTGCATATCAAAAGAGACTGGCCTGAAAAGTCAAACCCAACCACAGAGAAAGGTCATCCTGAGGATGTCTACCCAACACAAGGAGAGCTACTACAATGTAGCATCACATGCAGATGGAAAGGCTAATTAATTTACTATTGTAAGGAACAATTAAGGTATGTATAGCTATACAAAGTTGCATCAACATTAAACCACAAAAACAATAACTATAGTTTACCCTACACTGAGAATTAAACTATGTATAGAGCTTAGTTTCCTTTCACTGCTGTAATACCTAATTGTGCATCGCTGATATCAGCCAGACCAGGATACCAGCCAGGATACTTGAATATGTGCAGACACTGACCTAACGACTGTTATAAATTGAGATTTTATCAGCTCGTTACAGTTGCCAGGGGCATATTTTCATTTCCATTTTTACAATGGTGGAGAAGGGGGTTAGGATTGCTTAAACACAGTGTTTTTCAAATTTTTTTTCAGTCACGGCACCTTTAAAAAGGTATGCAAAATCTAGAAGCACCCCAAGTCTAAAATGTAAAAATCATAAAAGTAAAAACAGAAGTGTGGCCCCTCCAAAATGTATACCATACTCTTAACACAGATAGGGGTGTGGTGTGGATTTTAAGGGGATGAACTAAGTAAAAACACAAAAAGGGGTTCCCCCTTCACATCAAAGTTCCCCGTACAGGTCAAGAATCCAGCCTTAATCACCATAGTCCTCCGTTACATCAGGAGCCCCCTTTACATTAGAAGCCCCCTTCAAACCAGGAACTCCCACCTTTCACATCAGAGTCCCCCCTATGACACTAGGAGTACATCTTCACATCAAACCCCCTCTTTTTACATTCCCTTTCCATGAAAGTTCTCTCTACATCAGAAGCCCCCCTTTCACATCAGAGCCCACATTTTCATATCAGAGTCCCCCTTTCACATCAGAGTTCCCCCTACTCATTGGGTGCCCCATTCACATCTGGAGCCAGCCTGCTTCATGGAAAGACATGACGCTGAGTGAAAATTTTCAGGCACCCCTGAGGAAGACAGAAGACATTCCCGGGTGCCATGGCACATTGGTTGAGACAGGCTGCTTTAACTTGTTGAAATCATTTTTATGGCTAGTGTTAAATATACTAAAAAAGGTATTTCTGCAGTTCTAAATTCTCCTATTCACACCGGGCGTGTACGTGAACACACAAATAGCATGCAATTTTACACGTATTCACACAATGCATGAAAAGCATGTACTGCACTTGTGGTTCAATTGTTTGTCAATGGCACCCCAATTGTGGCAAGCAAGTTGGCTTGAACAAAAATGTGCAGTCAAAAAACATCCAAAGCTCGCAACTCAAACTGCTGCATGAGCTACTTTGTTGCAAGTAGGGTACATTGAAATGAGTGGGTTGCTCTATGCTGACACATGACACATGCACCAAAGTGAGGCCCCCGTTCATGTGTGTGCCTAGTGTGAATGGGGGCTAAATTGTAAGGGCGGCCATGGTGAAGGCAGCTAGCCAGGCTAAACTGGAGATGAATGGTGTATGGGACACGGATTGGCAACTTCATCCATTTACCGATCCAAAGGCGAAACAGAGGAGGAACACTATTTGTTTTTGGAACACAATTAGAACAAATCTTTTTTCTTTTAATTTTTACATCTGACATCTAGTATCTGTTGTGAACATACTTGCCTTGTGTTACTATAAACTTAAAACATTGCTCTACACTGAGTGGCCAGTTTATTATGACCACCTGACGTTTGTCGGCAAATTAGCTATAATTTCGCTCTGAAGACCATTATAAATAGGGAAGCAGGTTGTTTACCACGACAGTAGAAGTGATTTTTTTCTGAAGATTTGGGTAAACAATGCGATTTAACAGCCTTTGAACGTGGGATGATTGTTGGCGCGAGCCATGGAGCGAGTATCTGCAAAACAGCAGAATTCGTTAAAAGAGGGGATCATTGTTAAAGTGTTTAAAGACTGGACGGTCAGCCGAAAATCTGGGTCTGAACATGCGAATTGTGGCCGCCAGCGACTAGTCAATGTTAGGGCAGAACGGAGAGTGGCAAGACTGGTACAAGACAACAGAAGGGCAACAGTGCAGTGTCAGATTCCTCACATCACCTTTCAACATCTCGTGGAGTCACGAGGCGGCCCAACGAAGTACTGATCGGGTGGTCATAATAATCTGGCCACTCAGTGTATAATAGAGCTCCTTTGTCCACTATGTGTGTAGAGAAAATAGCCCAGGCCATAAATAGTAACTTGGATTCCCTGATCACTTACTAGCCGAGGATAAAGAGAAATCCTGTATGTGCAGTCATTGCAGATTGTGGCACAAAGGAACACATCAGACTAAAAATCTCCCATTTGTACCTACAGTGCTTCATACAGCAGCTTCCATTAGACATTCACACTGTACATATCACTCATACCCACTAATAACACATTGCAGACGGTGGACTGCTTGTAACAGACAATCAAGCTGGATAAAAATAGCAGTTCAGCCTGCAGTCTATTGATTATTACAGTTCGCTAAACACAGACATATGAACTTTGAAAGGCACTATATTCTTATAAAGAAACGCTTCTCTTTGAACAAAATAAAACAGCCTGTAGGACCATACAAATATTTTATCTTGGTTGAGTTCTACGATCAAAATGTGCGCCGAGTTTGATTTACTAAACGGGTAAAGGCCATTCACTCAAAGTGAATGTTTACCAAGCTTAGACAGGCCATACACTTATAGATTTTTTCTCATTCAGCTCAGCGGGCTGAACAAGAAAAAAATCCCCCATTCACGCTAACAACACAAATGGGGGAATCCCTCTACCAGGCTTTCGAATTCTGACAGTGGCGAGTGTGGTGCTGTCAGCAGGGCCGTCCCTATAATGAGGTAGTCTGAGGTTGTTGCCTCAGATGGCATATCTCGGGTTACATGGGGGGCATCTAGCAGAGCAGCATGTTTGCAGTGTGCCTGCCACTCATTTTCTGGCCAGAGTACCCCAGGTTGCTAAAAGTTGAGTGGGGAGATGTGTAAGAGCCATACTCATCTCTCTATCCAGCTCTTAGCAACCTGCGCTCTGGCTAGCGCCCCACCCAGTTCCTGGCAGCCAGTGATGTAATTGGTTGCTAGGAGCCAATTAACCTTTCACCATGTCTTTGGAGTGTGGGGGAAAACCGGAGTACCTGGAGGAAATCCACACAAGCACGGCGAGAACATGCAAACTCCTTGCTGATAGTGTCCTGACCAGGATTTGAACCGGGGACCCTCAGTGCTGACCACTGTGCCACCCTGTATTTCTCCATACTGTGTTGCCACATCCAGTGTCATTTTGCTGATTTCTGCTGTTTCAGTTACACTGCATATCTATATGATTACATTTCGCTGTGTTATGCTGTATTTCTAGCGACAAGTGTAAGATTAGCATTGTTACAGCTTAATCTGTGCACACTTGGCATCTTCCGTCTCACCCCTGCTGTTTTCTGTATATTGGTACAGTCTTGTGCTAAAAGTTCACAGTCATCCTCTATTCCAGGGGTCCTCAAACTTTTTAAACATGGGGCCAGTTCACTGTCCCTCAGACATTGCTGGGGGCCGGATCATAGTTTGAAAAACAGGGGGGGGGTGGCACCACCACACCCCCTCCCGTCCCAGAACAAAAGTTTTTTTTTACATTGTTAGGTAACATTTATTATTACCCAATTATTTGGTAAAATATAAAAGACGGGGTCACGTCGTGTAAATAGACACCAAACATGTCAAGCTTACAAATTGCGCGCACTCGCGAAATCGCAAAAAAACACCATATACAAAATTGGCCATAGGCGACGCTTTAAAAGCTTTTACCGCTCATCAGTTTAGTGGTACCAGTGATTGATGACGTTCACGGCGATATGTAACATGTGCGGCATAATGGGCGCAATCGTCGTTTTCGCAGGTATGCGCACCTGACGCATGTTTGCATGCGTGTATGTATGGGTGGCGGTTTTTAAAAAAATTTATTGTTTTTTAAGTGTAACTTTAAAACATTTTTTGGGAAACTTTAATTTTTTTTCCTATTTTTTTTTCACCTAACTTTATTGCTATCACATAGGGGGCTAAGAAACCCCCCTATGTGATAGCAAAATATGTGGCAGGTCCTCTTTATGGAGACATCAGGGGTCTCCAAGACCCCTAATGTCACCTAGGACCCCCAAAGAAGCTGATGAAGCAGAGGTCTGCTTCATCAGCTTCTCTCCAGCGTCTGAAGCTGGAGAGTGACACAAGAAGGCGGAAGTGATGTAATATACCGCCAACCGCCCATACAATCGATCACTTGTATGTTAACAGGCATTGCTGCCTGTTTTTAGATTGGCTGTATTTCCC